CAGCCAAGGCAGGCCCGTGGGCCTCAAGCTTCGGGATGTGCCTGGGTCCTGGCCCCCAGCTCCCTGCCTGCTCTCCCTCGGGGCTGAGAACAGTCACGTGACACCAGCAGTGTGCCTCCTCCTTTGGCCCGTTCGCTGTCTGAGCCACCGTCTGAGCTCCGTGCGGGCAGACCCCGCTGTGCCGAGGCCACAGACAAGCGAAGGGAGGTGCCCAGCTCATCCGAGGGGCTGACCCGGGCCTTTGGACCCGGGCCTGTCTGACTCCAGAGGCCACGTCCTTGACCTCTGCTCAGGCTGACCCCCTCGCAGGGGCTGTGCCCGCCTCCCGCCCCGGGGCCCCGTGAAAACGTACCACTTCTCCTCGCCGGATGTGAAAGGACCCCGTCTCCGTCTTCTGGAACATCTTGGAGGTGACCTCTGTCCGCAGGCCGCGGGGGCTGTCCAGGGCCCGGATGTCCAGGTTGGAGTGAATGCGCTAAAGGAAGGCCAGGGGTCAGGGGCCCGGGAGAGCCTGGGCCCACCCCTCGGGCCTGGCTGTGCTCTGCCCCTGTGTGGGGACTGGGGTGGCGTCAGGGTGGCAGGGCTCAGGTGGGCTCCCCGGGGACCCTGCCTCACTGGCCTGTCCTATTTCTCCACCCTGACTGGGGACACCCTTTGCCCACTCGGCCTCCCCCCAGCCCTGCCCGGAGGGACCCGGCCTCGGGCGGGCGCCGCGCCTCACGTTGAAGGCCTCCTGCAGCAGCTCCACGATGTTGGACGAGTCTTCCTGCAGCACGCCCAGCGAGGACACGGGGAAGTACTTGTGCAGCTTCTGCGGAGAGAAAGCCAGGCCCCGGCTCAGTAACAGCTCAGGGTTATCCCCACTTTGCAGATGGGATCACTGAGGCCTGAAACTGCTGGTGCATCCAGAGTCGGACCTCTTAGCCCCGCCTGCCTGGGGGAGGGTGGGCACATGACCTCCCTGTCCCACCAGGGCACACCCTGGAGGTGCTGGCTGGTTGGGGCGGGAGTAAGGGGTGAAGGGAGGGAGGAGAGAGAGGAGAGAGGTCTGAGAAGATCCATGGACCCCCACCCGCTCCTTTCTCAGCCGGTGAGGCCCCAGGCCACCCCCACCCCCCACACACACCTCGTAGTAGCTGTAGGAGTAGTTGGTGACGGCGAAGATGGGGATAATGTTGTGTTTGGCCAGCAGGCGCACCAGGGTGGGCACAGACGGGTAGTCCTGTGTCTTGTACTGGGTGTAGGTGCCTGTGGCGTCCAGGTGGCACTCCTCGTCATTTCGCTTCAAGATGCCAGCCAGCACGTTGGCACCGTCGGCCTCATAGTGGAAGGCGGACTCGGTGGAGAACACCAGCAGGTGGGTGCTGTCAGGGCGCCAGCCGATGTCCCTCTGGGGAGAGCAAGGAGGGCAGTCACTGCGCTGTCGTGTGTGACGGTGAACGTGGGTCCCCACGGGGGGCCCGGCGCGGCCACAGGACGAACAGCAGCCGTCGTCACGAATGAGTGACGACATGGAAGACAGAACCAGTGCCAGGAAATGGGTGCGGGTCGGCGCACACTGTGGGCGCCACGCAAGATCGGCCCCGGGGCCATCCGACTGTCCCCCAAGGTCTTAGCCACCCTCCAGAACGTTTTAACTGCACAGGAAAATGTACCCCACGCAACGTTAAATGAGAAGGGCCGGTTACAAGAGGCTCAGCAGCGATGGCACTTGGTTAGACGACAGATGGGACGAGTTTGGAAACGATTACAAAAGAGAAGACGCGCCAAGTGAAAAAAAGCAAGTTTCAGATGAGCAGGGCACCGACTCCAACCACAGGAAATAAGGAAGAGGGCACGAGCTATGCTGGCGGGACGCCGTGGCCGCCGTCCGACCGTGGTGACCATGGGCTACTTCTCTTCTTTGTTTTCCAAACTGTCTATTAAGTGGGTATATTATTTTCAAAATGGGAAAAAATTGGCGAGCACACAAAACGAAGTGCCTTCTTCGGCGGCCCAGCACTGCTGGGTCCCGGGAGACTGGCGTTAGGGAGGAGATTGGGTGGGAGGCTGGCACCAGGGCACGGAAGGTCCGGAGACCCGGGACGCATGTCTGCCTCGCCGGCCAAGGCTCAGGGCGAGGGGCTGTGGCTCCCGGCACATCTGAAGCCGCATTGTAACTGAGGGCCGCCCAGAGCGGCTCGGGACGCGGGGCCTCGGCCTGGCACCGGAGCAGGCCTGTGGCAGCCGGTGCCCTGGCTGTGCCCTGCCCTCTCCCAGGCCGAGCCCCTCCCTGGCGCCCACCGTGCACACGGCCGTCTGCAGGATGGCGTCGAAGCCGCCTTCCGGGGCGTCCAGGTTGCCAGAGATGCGCTCTTGCTGCAGCTTCCTCCGGAACTCGGCCACGTCGTCGGTCAGGCTGATGACGTTCTTGAAGGAGAAGGGGGCGTCGCTGTTGGGCCAGGGCTCCTTCAGCCTGGGCACAGGGGGAGGGAGAGGGTCAGGGGCGAGGACCCGCCTGCGCCCCGCCCGTCCTCTCTGGGAGGCCGCCCGCTCGGCTCATTCAGGC